AGAACAAAACCATTTATCCAGTAATGCAGCCGAGTATATAAGGAGGCTTGTGTTAAGCGGATCGAGTGTTGCACATGCGCGTTGGTTGCCGTGCAAGAGTTACTTGCATTCTACTACATCTTCCCTTCTTTGGGGCAAAAAAGGGAGACACAACACACAAAAAACAAGCGTTGAGGAAATTTTTTGTTTGCAAACATAAATAGCCTTGCTATTTGTGACTTTCTGGCAATGGATAACGTTGCGGCTCTCGGTGTATGCGCTCACTTCTTTGAAGGACTGTAGTTGAGTCTGATGGCGCTGCTTGGTTTTCTGCTGGGGACTCGCGGGCAAGCGACGAAACTTCTGTGGCCCTAAGATGTTCTCTTGTGCGGCGTAGCTGCTGCCCATTGTCTATAGTCACCACTTAGATTCGCATGGGCCCTGCAGGACCGATCACTATGGCTGGAGCCCACGTTCTGCTGCGTGTGTCATATACGGACACTCGGTTTCCGCTATGAAGATCTGGCTGACTCCTTGTAGTTCTGTTGTAGTAGAAGCGCTGTTTATGTCGTATTTCTTGCAGTCGCTGATGAACAGTTTCTGTGGGAACTGTCTTTCGTCCCAAGTGACAATTGAGGACCGGGAGTTGGCTTCGGGTGTGACGTCCCATGAGCCTTTGAACTGGCGATTGCAGCCATTCGTCCCTCGGAGTGTTCCGCAATTGCAGCAACGCACTGTAATATTCAAGAGTGGAAAACGGGCACTTGTTTAACAGATGCTTAGTTTCCTGAACAGCGCGTTCTGGTAAGTCGTTGCCGCGCCTCTAGTACGGGCTAGACATGATGTGGTTGATAATAAATTTGCTCGTAAAAGCGTGAAAGTTCATGCTGTTGAAATGTCGGCTGTTGTCACTGCACAGCTTCGCTGGATTGTCATGCGTCGCAAAGATTTCTACACTTGCTTTGATTACTGCAGCAGCGGTGGCATGACTAAGCTTGCGAATCTCAAAGAAAAATGAGTAAGAGTCAACGACTATGAAGTATTCAATGCCTTCGTGGTAAAAAATATCCACCCCACCAATTGCCATGGCAGAGTTGGTAACTCGTGGCTGATCATGGCAAGCTTTGCATTTCTTTTTTTGTATTTGTCGCAAACAGCAGATATCTTTGCTACATCTGAAATATTAGCATTCATGCTTGGCCAGTACATTACCCGTCGTGCCCTTGCCTTCATTTTATCTTCGCCACAATGTGCAGCGTGGAGCAGGCCGAGAACTTCTCTGCGCTTTGCTGGCGGAGTGACAAGCTTGTTACTTTTGAGAAGCAGCCCGTCCTCGACGTGGAGCTCATCCCGGAAGCTCCAATATGGCTTTAAGGCACCCGGCAGCTGCTGCTTGCTTTGGGGCCACTCTGTACTCGCTAAGCGGCAGAGCTCGGTCATAAGTGTGTCCTTCTGAGTCTCTTTTCATGCTGAGGAGCTGCTGATCTGAAACAGGTAACAAAGAAACAGCGATGACTCGAAATTGTTCCGTTTCCTCTACCAGCTCTGTTTTGCGATGAAAACGCGAAAGTGCGTCCGCCAAAGATAGTTCTTTTCCCGGTTTGTATGCCACAGCGATGGAAAATCTTTGTAGCACGAGCCGCATGCTCTGAAGACGAAGAGGGCAATCGCAGAGTAGTTTCTTGAAAATTGAATCAAGTGGTCGGATTCAACTGTGACTACTGGCTGTCCGTGTATGTAGTCCTTGAACTTCATACAACCATGGACTATGGCTGGGGTATCTTTTTCGATTTGTGCATATTTCTGCTGCGTGGCCGTTAAAGAGTGAGAAGAATAGGCTATGGGGTGGTCATTTTGTAGGATGACTGCGCCGACGCCGTACTGACTCGCGTCAACGGAAAATTTCACTGCTTTGGACTGGTCAAAGTAGGCTAGTACTGGTGCTATTGCAAGGCTAGCTCGAAACTTTTGGAAACTGTTTTCCTGCGCTTTTGTTCACGTTCATGCGACGTCCTTGTTAAGCAGCTCTCACACAAGCGCGGATGCAACAGACAGGTTTGGGATGAAACGCGATACAAAGTTGACCATTCCAAGAAATATTTGAAGCTCCCCACAGTTTTTTGGCGCAGGTACTTGAATGATGCCTTGTACTCCTTCTGGATCCAATGAGATTCCTTCTGCAGTGAAAAGGTGGCCTATGTAACGTACACTGGACTGCCAAAATTGGCACTTCTTTCTGTTGAGCCTTCAATTGCATTTTCTGCAGTGTTCAAGCAAGGCGGTGAGGTTTCTATCATGCTCCTGCCTCGTCTTTCCCCAGACTAATAAATCCTCTATCACGACCGCTATGCCAGCCAAATTTCCAAACACTTCATGCATGGCACGTTGAAAAACCTCTGGTGCCGATGTGAGGCCGAACAGCATGCGTACAAACCTCTACCTTCCAAACGGTGTGCTCATAGTGCACACACGCGAACTTTGTTCGTCAAGGGTTATTTGCCAAAAACCTGAAGCAGCATCGAGCGTGGAAAAAATATTTGGCTCCTTGCAGCCACGGCAGTACGTCGTCCAAAGTCGGCATATGGTAATGCTTTCGCAAAGTCACCTTGTTTAAATCAGAAGGATCCAAACATACGCGTACCTTACTATTCTTTATTACTATGACCGTGTGGCTGGACCACACGGGCGGGTCTTTCACCTTTGTGATGACGCCGTCGCGTTCCATCTCGTCTAGCTTTGCTTTCACTGGTTCTTGAAGGGCGACGGCAATTTTCCTTGCGGGTTTGATGGTTTGTAGTACATCGGGTTTAAGCTGCAGGCGATAGGTGAAGCCTTCAAGTTGTCCTAGGCCCTGGAAAATATCATCAAAGCCAGATACGAACGTGTCAGACGCTTCGACGTTGACTGTATCTATGCGTTGTATTAGGCCCAGTCTCTCGGCGACTTCACCACTTAGTGTAACGGCATCTCTTGAGCGAAAACAAAAAACGTAACCTTGGTGCTCTGCGTGCTGCTAGAGACAAGGTGTATCTTTCTAATTGCTTTTTGAGTGTGACCTAAAAAAGAACGCAAGGTAGCGGAACTGTTTTGCGCAGGAGCCACTGTTAACTTTCGAAAGACAGATTCTTTTATGACACATCATTTCGTTCCCGTGTCTACTTTGCACCTGATCATAGCACCGGCTACACTCAACGTCGCCACCCAATGCTCATGATTCTTGATTGCGTGAACTTCCAACGTTTGCAGGAATTATTCTTCGTCGTCGGTCCTTTCTACATGTCATATGTGTCGTCCTTCTGATCGCGTTTCCATGCTTCGAGTGCGACACACGCTTGCCAAATGATTTTGACCGTTACATTTCTTGCAATATTTCCCCATTGCCGGACATCTTCGAGATCTCTGATGTTCCAAGCCACATTTTGGGCAGGGGGCAGTTTTTTCTTGTACCGCATCAATGCTTTTTTCAGATTCAAAAGAAGTGCGGCCTCGGATTTCGGCGACTCTGTTCTGTAGCACGGCAAATCTTAACCGTTTTGGCATAGAAGGGATCCTCATGGATAAGTCTCTGCTGAAGTTCCTTGTTTCGTATCCCAAGGATTATTCTACTGCGTAGAAGCCTATCTTCAAGCTTCCCGAATTCGCACTGCGCCGCTAAAATCCTGAGCTCTGTGATCCAATCGTTAAACGACTCGCCTTCTCGCTGGTTTTTGAAACCAAACCTAAACTCGTTGAAAGTGAGCTTTGTAACTGGTTTATAGTGGTCTTCCAACTTCCGGGTTAGCACATTCAGATCTTTCTTGTCTTCCTCCTGCTCAAATTTAAAGGTTCAAAAAAACCCGCTTTGCCACTTCGCCGATGGTCATGAGAAACGTAGCGGCTTGAACATCTTGCGGCTGTGCCTTCAGATTCTTTGCTACTGCGAAAAGTTCAAACTCACTTTTCCAGATATTCCAGTTATGGTAAACGTCGCCGGTGGTGTCGTGCGGCTTGGGGGCAGTAGCAGTGTCGAGCTCATGGTTGTGTCTGCAGTTCTGGGTGATCGGGACTTGTCTCATGGGCTTGGGCGTGAGGGACGCTCGTCCCGTACTGTCTCTGTTGAGGCTGTGGTTATATGGAAAAGCTTGCTGCACGGCAGAAACTAACTGCCGTGCGCACTTTTGGCACCATGTACGCCAGACGAGTAGCGGGGAACAAAAGCCGTTTATTCAGTAATGCAGCCGAGTATATAAAAGGCTTGTGTTAAGCGGATTGAGTGTTGCACATGCGCATTAGTTGCCATGCAAGCGTGACGTGTACTCTACTACAGTATCTAATGCTTGTTTCAAACAAACACGGCAGCAAGTCCTCAGACCTGCCGGGAACTTCAAATTTGTCTTACATTTGTTATGCTCAAGCCCTTTTTGTTATGAAGAGTACAGCTGCCTTCTAATATATCGTGGCTGTTTTTTGAAATATTTTCCTATAAAAATGCGAACATTTGTTTTTTTTGTAACTTTTTCTTTAAGCAAATGTCCTAGTAAATCATCTTGTACCCTGCACAACCAAAACGAAATAGCGCCTTAATCTTCACAAAATTGTGCATGTCTAAACTTAGCCTCAATCCTTATTTTGAGACACGCTCCTTCGTGGAACATCTATATCATGGTCCACGCCGTCGTGTGTGTTCAATCTTATCAAGGCTACTGGAACAGTGCAGTGAACTTGTAAATTAGTTGTGCCTGTGCCCGAGATTCATCGAGAACAAGAGAAAAAATAAACGGCTTGCCTTCCTTGTCCGTATCGTGTTAGCCAGCATCGGGTTAGCAAGCCGTAACAAAAACCAACTAGCCCAGCTGTCTACGATCTAACATTTCTATATTTCCTACTTGCATACTTGCACATGAACTATGAACCAAACAACCTGGCGGTATCATCTCACAGCTGGGTTCCTGAATTTGTTCCCAATACTGTGCACTGTATGAGGATGGTTCTTTGAAGCATAGGCACTAAACTTTCATGTATCATCATTTCATTTGGGACAGTGCCTGAGTGGAAAGGCGTTCGATGCAACAACACCAGAGGGTCTCACTGGTCTTGCATGCAGCGTACTGACCGGCTGGGCCAAGAGCGCCAGGGTCATAGATCTGAACAGCTTGCTGCCTTTCGTGAGTATTCTTTCTAACGATTGTCACCGCGTTAGCTAAGCCAGGCAAACAATATCTTCATAGTTTGCGCTGCCAATATTTCAGCTTGGTTCTATACGAACTATCCCCCTTTTCAACACTTCTACAACTTAAAATGTATTTCATCACTGTGCCTCCATTGCGCCGTGTCTTATTGAGTTCTCTGGAAGCAGTTTCAATAATTCAGCAGGTTTACACTGGCTGAGAATTAAAACACAGTAAATGGCAGCATTGCGTTTGCGTTGGCCGGTATCTATGATTGGGAAGTGTAGGTACTTATCGATATTGCGGAATCAATCGAGTAGTGAAACATATTGTCTACTGGTGAATTATATGTCAAGAAATGATTGCCAACAGCGAATTATTACAAAAAGCGTAAGTCTCGTAGTAGAAAGTTAAGCTGAAGCAGGATGAGTCTTAGCGAAAAGTCACATTCGCCATGGTTGATTTTTTCTCTCCAGTGGCATTTTTCTCCAACATCCGCAACGTGGAAATGTTCCTGGTAATTGCGGTCCTAATTTGACTTATAGCCTTCTAGGCAATTGTATAAAAGTGGTAGACTGCACATTTTAATTCCGATCCGATTTACTAGGGATGGACTTGAAACTCTGTTGTGGGGTCAAGAACGGCAAAGTATGCCCTCCTCTACATGTCATTATTGATGTTACTGAACCACGCTAGCCGCAGCGGTAGCTTCGGTCTTGGAACGAATCCGTGCTTTGTAAGCTTTTACATAACGTGCATGCTTGTATTCTAGCACGTACTCGCGCTTCTTGCTGTTTCTCCTAACAGGGTCAGAAACATTCAGACAAGTGCAAAGTGCAGAGATGATCCTATGAACATAACGCAAGGAAGAAACTAGCAGAGGCCGTGTTTCGATAATCGAATTTGTTTTTATTCTCTAGACCTTTCCGTACACTACATACCGACAGAAAAAAAAATGTTGCTGATTCTTATCAAACTCTCTGCGCCAGCTCGCCCCTTCAAATTGGCGGCCGCATAGAAGCGCTCCTCATGACGAATCCCTAAGAAACTATCTGATGATGGGAGAGTGGCATGCTTTCCAGTGTGATTGGCGAAGCTCGGAGGCAGTTCCAATTGAATTACTTGACTATACATGAATGCCCTTCGCTAATACACTATACGTACTTAGCACTTATATTCAGCATCAGTGTGCTTGCCTGCTTGCACCCCTTCCACCCCTTGCCCTGCACCCAAGCACGTTCTCGCGCCCTGTCGATGCAGACATTACTGTTGTTGGGTTGAAATAAGCTGCCCGCGTTAGCACAGCAAGCAGCGATATCAATTGTCACAATAGTAGATATGAATTTCGAGCACTGGCGGCTCGTGTAAGGCCACAGTGACGCAATTCAATGTTTTAGAATCCCGGCCGTGGCGGCTGCAATTTGGATGTAGGTAAAAATGCTAGACGCCCGTGGGATTACATTTAAAAAGACACAAAAACAAGCATTGAAGTCTTTACCTTGATAAACTGCACGTTAACTCTAAGTACAATAGTTTCACTGCCATAAGTTCTTTATTAGCAAAAAAAGTCAAGGTTGCAGTTTAGTCTTCTAACTTCCCGCCATAATTTTTGTGTGCGACGTAAAAAATCGCGCAAAGTATCTTTTGTAATTTTACGACGTTGCCTCAAAAATTTCCTTAAAATTCGTATGCTTAGAATGTGGCGCCCACCGATGACAATGTACTTCAGTTTTATTGATTAGAATCTATGTAGAACCCAGTAGACGCCTTCAATGTTTATATACCACAGTGTCCCGGTGCGAGAGTCTTAAGGTGGCATCTCTACCCGCAGTACCTCTTCGCGCATTTCCTCGGTTACCAAGTGTCACGTGGTGTAAGAGTGATACCTTTGTACTCTTCAAATGGTAATTCACTAATACGTGAAAAAGTGTATTGGTCTTTAGGTGTTCCATTAAAGAAACGTTAAAGAAGCACAGGTGGTTGAAAATACTGGAGCCCTTCACTACAGAAACTCTCATAATCATGTGGTGGTTTTCGGACGTAAACTCCAACAGATATTGATGGTTCTAGAAGGTATGAATTACCAGAGTCTCAAGATAGGTTTGTCAGGCCGAAGAGACAAAACACGCACGAAAGAACACCGTCATTCTGTGTGGAAGTCACAACTGATTTATTACTTCAAACGAAATGCCTTTTTAATGGAACGCAACAGACAGATAACATAAGGAGAAGAGGCAATGCAAAACCTCATTAGAACTGCTTGCCGAAAAAGACGATCAACCAAAGGTGAGAGTACAGTAGCAAATTCTCAAACCACCAAACACGACCCCACTGCGTGAAAGAAGTAAAACGATAGCCGATTTCGAAATCAAGTGGCAAACACATTAAAAGCAGAGAAGCCAAGACAGTCACAGAAGCAAAAATAAAAATGTTTGAAAAGTTAGAAAGAAAAATAAAAATAAATATAGTAAATGTAGTAAACCCAGGGTAAAAAGAAGCCATTGAAAAGGCACGTGGTACAGGCAGCGTACTTCCATATTTTGAGAGGGAAAAGGAGGGCCTGGTGACACATGTATCACCAAGCTTCTGAAATTTGGCTGCCTCTAAATTTTCAGGGCTAGGTTTTTTTTTCAGGTTGTCTTACGGCATACGCATTTCCGGCACTACCACGGCATCAGGGTGATATTTTAGGCTGCTGAGAAGCTCTGAAGGTTATGCAGAGTGGTGAACGTTCTTCCCGCTGTTAAGGACAATTGCGAAACAAAGCACCGCCCTCCTGTGTATTGGGTGAGCAATCACTCGTGCATTCTGCGCCACTCTCATGCGGCAAATACTATGTCGGCCTAACAGGCAGGTGTCTCAACGTCCATCTCAGAGAGTACCAACAGCATTTCTCAGCAGTCACCTACAGTCATTAAGCGATAGATTCTGGAGATTGCGGCTGCTCCCCGCATTTCGGGGATTGGACTGTCTTAGCCAGGCACAGCGAGCCAATTATTCGGGAAAATTCAGAGACAGCCATAATGCAGAGAAAACGTTGTGTCACATGGTCCTCCCTTTTCCTCTCAATTATGGAAGTAGGCTGCCTGCAGCGCGAGCCTTTTCGACTGCTCCTTTTTACCCCATGTTTGATACATTGCCTACACTTATTTCGAATACCTTTAACGTATCAGATACTTTTTCTTTTTTATTATGAGGCCACCTTGGCTCCTCTAGCTTTACCGTGTTTATCACTTGATTTTAGAACATACTGTCCTCTTGTGTTCTTTGGCATATCGGGGGCGTGTTTCATGGTTTAAGAATTTCCCACTGCAATCTCACCTTTGATTGATTGCCTTTTTCGGCAAGCAGTTCTGACAAGATTTCGCATTGCTTATTTTTCTCTTTTTATCTGTCTGCTGCTTTGATGCATGCCACTTAAAGGCTGTTTCGTTCGATGTATTAAATCAGTTGTGGATTCCACACAGAATGTGTCTGTTATTTCTTGAGTGTTTCGTCTTTTCGCCCTGGGAAAAACTTATCAGGAATCAACTCAACCGAGCAGCAGTTTTTTGTAGCAATTTGGCTCTAAAAAAGAGAATGCACTTAGCAACCTTATACTTACTCTGGTGTCATAGACTCTCATACAATGAACAGCAAGTAAAAGCATACCGAGTACTCTGAGTCGTAAATATAACCCAAACAGCCGCGACGTCGTTTTTTTTTTTTGGCATGCAAAAAGAGACGAAAACTTGTAATTTACCTCAACCAGAGTTAAAATGTTCACCTAAGTGTACATTCGCTTATTATTCATTCGAAGGCACTCCTAATCAAGGTTAGGGGGCACAAGTCTGTATTTACTCCAGTTCAACGGCCCAGAATACAGAAGTACAACTGCAGCCATTCGAAAAAAAAAGAGCGGTGTTATTTTATATTTTTGAACGTAAATACACATGAGCAATTTTCTAACATATAGTTACTTGCACTAAATAGGAGATTCAAGGCATTCGAATAGATGATGAATGTAGTAGGTGTGCGTGCTTATCCAGCAAAACTTTATCTTAACTTTAGAAACAAACATAAATATGGTAGAACAAAAGAAAGTATAAGTGCCGTTAAAGACAAAACCTCGAAGAGAATAAAATTTCTTATCAAAAGAAGTCACTGGAGTCAACGTTTCTGCATGCGTTTTGGACAATCCGAAAGTGAGCGATTGATTTCATTGCCCTTTCCCACTCTCCTTTGAAGGAGTGGGTGGATAGTGGAGGTGTTATACAGTGACGACAGAAAATAGCGCAAAGAAACGGGGACACAAGACGAGGACACACGGCACAGGCGCTAACTTCCAACATAATGTTTATTAACACCGCACACTCGCCTATATCCCCAAGAAAAATAACATCACATGACATGAATGATGCGCACAAAAAATTTATTTCTTAGAAAATACAATTCTTTATCACTGAGCGTAAGAGAGGGAGTGCTGACGCACTTAGATCCCAGTGAAGCGATAGCCTCAGCCTCAATAATCTCTCTAGTAAGCTTGTAATCTCTCTACAAGCTTCAAGTTCAGCTGTTTTATTCTTGACACTTTGCACAGCGAAACAAAGTAAGCGTAAAGGACACGTGTCATTTTTCCGTCATTTGGTTGCCCCATTTGCAGTGTTTTTCGCACAGTTTGTAGCCTCGTATGTTTCACGTGCAGTTTCTTTGCCCTCCGCAAAGATGATCATTGAAAAATTGCTACACGCATCGTGATTTTCATTACAAGCGTAGTGCCACCGTCTGAATTTGAACCGCACTCGGCAAGCTTGCGTCTTTCGACAAGGAGTACCCGGTGTTCCTTTGTTTCCTTGCACTTCTCAACAGTTGTTTTTTCATTGAAATCAAAAAAGCGCATAATACCTAGACGCGGTTTCTTCGGTTGCTTGCTGCCGATGCGATGAATGCCTTCAAGGCTGCTTACTTGAATTACCAGTCTATTTTCAAAAATATCTCTCAAAACAGCTCCTTTTAAAGACTCCACTGTCTCAGTTTCCCTTTCATCAATTATATATGTAATCAAATTGTTTCGTTGATTTCTACTTTAAAGATCGTCCACATTTTTCTGCAGAAACTCGATCGTTTCATGCAACCTTCACACAAGACGCTCACATTCTTCTATCCTTGGTATAGTCTTTGAGCATGGCAGCAGCTCCTGTTCAGTTGAGGCCAACTTTTTATTACTTTCAGTAAAGTGACTTTTTTAACCTTCCCAGCATAGACGTAAGCTCTCTTTTGGTCTCTCTTTGGTTATCCGAAATTTATGCTATTTGCTCAGAAACCGTTGTGCCGGGGTTCGTTTCGATACCCCCACTTAACACAAGAACTACAAGACACGATGAATCAAAACTACTTTTGACAGTATCACACAACACCCTCGGGCAGGGGACCAATACTAGGCACTAGGAATTGCTCTTAAGGCCTTGACTAGTAGTTTTTCTACTAACCTGTTAAAACAAGACAACCCAGGTTGGCTGCGTCTGCATCTTCGGGTTCGTGTTCTGCCCATTGATGAAAAACATTTTGGGGGTGGTGCCGGAATGTTCGGGTGAAGACGACGTTGCTCCGATGCTCCATTGCAAAACAATAAATGATCCAAAACTTATGGCATCAATTTCAATCCGTAGGACATCACTGTCGTCAAGTGCAGCTAAACTGCCTGGGACGTGAAGCCAGATGATGGACGTTGTCGTACTGACGTTAATTTCTTGGTAGCGCACTGGTTCATTGCATGCAGCGAAAACCTGCGGAAAAAATGAGCCAGGTTAGCCACGTCTGCATCCTTAGGTTGGTCCTCTGCCCACTCAGAGTAGTAAGTCAGGGTATCAAGTAACCATGCCACAATGAAATACATGTAAGTAAAATAAACCGGACCCATTCCCCAAATTTGGGTATTACCCAAATGAAACAAATTGCTGACGGATTTAGTCATGACTAATCGCGTGACTCAGTGACAGCCTTCAGTAAAACGTCGCATCACAAAATTAGGGCTTCACGCGGAATGATTACGTGACATAAACCTCCTTTTAGTAATGACGTCAGCATAATTGAAGCGTCCCTATTCACTGCGCTTTCACATTATATGAACACTAAGATACGTAGATGCATGTGTAAATTCTGGAGTGTTGAAAGATGTGGTGCTCTAGTTTCAATTTTTTTTTGCCAAGACATCTTGAACCACTCACACAAGATATCAACCAAAATAAACACAAATATAAGCACTAATTGCATGTGGGGACTCTCCTTGTCAAGTTATTGAGATAATGTGGCATCTTTCCATTCTGTTTTGTCGAGAAATATGGGAAAGAGTGCCCCTTGAATAAAACATTTATCGGTAAGTTCACGGTCTCGATTAGCGGGGGGTGAAATTGTAGCGAGTGGTAATAAATAATCCTTTCTCTTCTCTGCAGTGCGTGCTCTAATCAGAGAAAGTTTCTGCTATAGCGAAGCCGAACAAAAGTAGTTAGTACCTATGTTAGTGTTAAATAATAATGTAATATTGCTGGGTGCTAACCCCGCCCTGCCGTTTTTCTGCAGTTGATCAATAACAGCTAAGAAAATTGTAAAATGTCATGTTGCCGTATACTTTCAAACACGCCGCACCCTCCTGCAGACACAAGAACATTTTGGAACATTAGAAGCTAATGGCTGTAAAAGTGCACGCACTTGGGCTTTAACGTGACGAGGCATCGGCGATTGACATATTTTCATGTCAAAACATTTTTGACTCTTACAGCCGCTACCATTACCAGGACTTGGAGGAGGCAGTTCTAGTTCTTCTTCTGGAGACAAGGACGAATCGAAGGGACTCGTATCGGATGTGTTGGGCGCAGTTACCGATCCCTTGTCAATACTGAAGGCTCACGACTCAGATTCCGGAAGCAGTGGACTCATTTCAACTGTGTTGGACGCTGTTTCAGACCCTTTGTCGATATTGAAGCCCCATGACTCAGATTCCGGAAGCGGTGGATTAATTTCCAATGTATTAGACGCAGTTACAGACCCCTTGTCGATACTCAAGCCTACTGACTCAGATTCCGGAGGTAGTGGACTCATTTCGAACGTATTGGAAGCAGTTACAGACCCTTTGTCGATACTGAAGCCTCATGACTCTGATTCTGCAAACAATGGACTCATTTCGAATGCATTGGGGGCAGTTACCGATCCGTTGTCAATACTGAAGCCACAAGACGATGTTTCTTCAGATGACAAGTCACATGGACTATTATCAAGCATCTTTGATGCTGTCACACCAAATAATGACGATGACGGCAAGTCAAAAGGGCTTCTCTCCGGCTTAATCGATGCTGGTATTCATCCCATATCTGACTCAGATTCTACATCGAGCGATGATTCGCACACATCTGCTTCAGACGACAAGGAGAAACCCAAGGGTCTTATTTCCGGCATGTTGGATGCTATCACCAGTCCTCTACAAAGCCACGACTCAGACAAGAAAGGTGATTCTGACACAGATGACTCAGCTACCGAGGATAAACAACCACATGGACTTCTTTCCAATGTTTTCGGACTTGTAGGTCGTTAGTCATTATTTGGAATTTTACCACGTCCTAAGTCTCATGTACCCGAACGCGCGAATGATCTAACTACTTCAAAATATAGCACCATAATTGAACCAATTTCAGGATTTGAACTCTGGCGCGAACTTTTGCGTAAGAATTGACGAGCATGCCCAGAGCCATAGCACACATATGCGTTTGGTTGTCACACTATATGCTTCCAGTTGAACAACCACTTCAATTAGGCAACACATGTTGTTCTTAGAAAGTGCCGTAAAAACTTTGCATTGATATAGTCTATTGACCATGTCTGTGATAAATTTGACTATTCATTCTAAATACTAGATGTTCCAGTCAGCGATGTTGCAATAATGGTTGCACCACGCGTTCTTTCAATAGTGGTTCATAGACTCGAGAAAAACATGGGTGAATACAGTCAGTGGTTTTGTAGCCCCTGTTCCTCTTGAGTTTCGTAATTTTGGTCGCTGAAAATTTGCCCAAAACTTCATGTTATTCAAATTCTCCTTAGATAAAGATTCTCCCCTTCAACCGCAAAGTTCCAACTGCGCCGGTGGTTGGTGTCAAACTCTCCGTCACGCATTTCTGTGAGAGCGAGCTGCTCTGAACATGCGCTGCTTACCATGACATTTCCGGCGCTAAATGATTGTGCTAGATCGTAAGCCAGTGAAAATAAATGTCAGACGCTGCAGTTTTTTGCCCCGGAACGCCACTTGAGGCAGTATTGGGTAGTGCAACGTCCCACTTCATTGCACGCACACTTTGCTGCGAAAGCAGGCTTTGCCAGCAATTTGGATACAATGATTTAGTGTTATTTTGCTTGTTTCGCACAAATATTAGTAGAAGTCCTATGAATTTCTCTCCGCTAGCCAAACACGCAACCGTACCACCGTCTAGTGTTTCTTTCAATTTCTCGTCAGAAAGATAGCTCTATGGAGAGATCAGTTGTATTGGGTCCTGAAAGCGATTTGAAACGTTAGGGGCCGCTTCCAGCAAAAAACTAGATCGAAAAGGAAATCAGATATCACAGAAAGGTATGAACGTTGCTTGTTAGCCTTTGCCAATGCAAAGGAAGTTTAAGGGAGTTTTGCACAGCTGGTCACGGGAGAAACTGTACTACCGAAAATTTAGGTGAGTTTATAAGAATGCACTCAAGAGCAGGTGGCGCAAAGTAGGATGACACAAGTGAGGAACCAAAAGAATGGACGAATACTCGTCCAGTCTGTCCTGCACGCTGTCCTGCACGCTGTCCAGCACGCTGTGTGACACGGAGTGAGAAACTAGAGGCAGACTGAAGACGTGTGGTTATTCTCACGCGCACGATCGTCTCCTACAATCTGAATTACTCTTCGCCGCACTGCATTGCGAACATGCGCTTTCAAAGTTAGATATTATGCTTGTAACTAAGTGCTAGCGTGTGCGTCGTACACCTAAATCACAAGACGTAGGGCCGCAGCACTTCAAGTTTGTTTTGTGGTCAATTGCACATCGTGAATTCAGTTACGCATATGAACACCATCGTTCATGGAGCCTTTCCAAATTTGTAATGGAATATTGCAATGCGCAGGAAGCCAGAACTACAAAAAAATTCTCATAAGAAGAAGTAAATTGCTGGGGCCATTGGACTAATCGCAAGATATTAGGATAAGAAAATCAATCGTGTATCAATTATCCATTATGTGTATACCAAACTTTAACGACTTTAGGCGCTCCGGTACGGACGCCACAGAGCTTGCCTTGAATTCGACGTTGTGTGAGGTTAACTTGCGAGTTGCAGCGCACACAAATACCTGAAACGTTTTTTTTTCTTTCTGCACACTACCGCTTGTTCTCTTTGATTAGCTTCCCACTTTACTACAGTTTGAACTTCCAAAAAAAACATTTCTATCTACTCTTATTTCAGTAAACCACGCCGCAAGAAAGACGAAACACGGGATTGTACGGTGCTCTGTGCACATTAGCTTGCGATCGGCTCTTTTTGCACTCCCACGCTAGTGGTAGGGCTACGATGATGGAATTGGTGGCGGTGTTTTTGCAGCTCCTCCTAGACAAAGTTTGACGTATACAGGCTAGAGGATTGCTTTTGAACTTGGTCTTGAGTATTCTTGAAGTCGTCTATTATAATCATGGCGGTGAGACATAAGGGTTCATAAATTGTTTTCATAAAAGTACGGTGTACATGATGCCATCATTACAACTCCAAAATAGAAAACGTTTCAGTAAAACATCCAAGAGCTCATAGGAACGAGTGGGTATGTGTGCTATAAGTGTTATGTATATTGGGGTAAAAGGCTATATGAAAGCATAATTTAAAACATTTCACAATTGATCATTTTGTACATACGAAAAATGTGATCATTTATCAGGCTCAAAATTCAGAAGTGCACTACCCCATTTTTATTTTCATTTATTCTCTTAATTTTATTCATTACCTTACAAAACTGAAAAAAATCATGTCTTTTAGGTACTCATTTTCTAAAATCAGCACAAAGACAATTCTCTGTAGACTGTTCTAAAGCATATTGCGCATGGAGTATAGAATATTTTCATCTCAAGGAAGAGTGAGTGAAAATTACGTCTTTGATGTACCTAAAATTGTTCTGAATCATGAAATTGATGTTGAATAATTTTCTCGTGTGCTCACGTATACAACACTGCTTCGCTCTATCTACAATTTATTAAAAGTTGGTGCCTCACAATAACAGCAGCCTTTGTGGGCCTTGTAAGCTTGCCAGTAAATCAACATTCTTGCACAGCGCGAGCCTATGCGTAGTTATAGCGTAACCACGAAACAAGACAAGGACAGACTGTGTTGCCGAATTAAGTGTTTTGCTCAAAAGCCAGCAATGCTATAAGTTCCGTGTTGGAGTGCCGAAATGGCGTAACGCTGACAAAAGTAAAGACTGAAACCAAAAAGTTGTGCGACGCACTGGAATGAAGTAGGCTAGTAAGATGCATTGGCAAAAGCAAGAAGCTTAGCTTGGACTTGTTCTTCAAAGTCAAGACTCACAAGGTCGACGGGCCGCTTTGAGTCCTTGTTTTGGAAAATGGGGCGTGGCAGAAGGAAGTGCTTTTGCTTTTAAAAATAAGCTCAACTGAAAGATTCTAATGACAATATTAGATATATTTCACGTAACAACAATGACCTAAGTGTCTGCTCCAAAGACATCAAGGTCCTTCACTACTGTTTACCATATGACACACTGCTACAGTGTGTTGAGGACTGTTTTGACAACTTTGGTTCAGGTGCGTTCCAGAATGCGGCCGCCACAACTGTCAGCGCCTTTATTGAGCTCGTTAACTTTCACCTAAAGACAACTTTTGTGCCCTGGAATGAAGGCACTTTTATTCAAGAAAGAGGAGTGTGCATTGCTTCATGCATAGCGCCTGTTTTAGGTAGCATTTTTCTCGCTTACCATGACCGAATCTTGGCTAGCAGCCTCAACAAAACTGCTGCTGTAAAGGCTTTTCGTTTTGTTGACGATTTTTTCGTGCTTTTTGATGGCGATTATAGTTGATTAGAAGCTGCCGTTCCTAACATTTTATGTCTTTTCGATGAATGTATGGCACCTCTGATTCTGAGGCATGAGATGCCGCAGAATGCTTTGTCAAGGCTTCAGATTTTAGATTAAACACCTTAAGATAGCACCTATGCTGAAAATACGAGCCCAGAGGAAGCAGGCCAATTCCATCGTACTTGTCGGCTCCTTCGATGCTGTTATTGAAAGGAATTGCTAATCATTGTTTGAAAAACACTCGCCGCAACTCTTGCGGCCACTTGTTAGCAGCTTCGTTGAGCAGGCTCTCCATGAAAAGCGCTGGTTTCCCGGAACATGTACTGGTTTCGGTGGCGGAAAAGTTGCTTAGGCCTACAAAACAAGGCTGTGAAGCACCAGCGAACTACGTGGCTAGTAGCTTGAAGCGTGTGGCTGTGATTTCCTACCTACATAGGATTTCTGACAAATTAAAAAAAGCATAGGTTACATAGTTGATGTGAAGATTGTTTTCTCTGCCCCAGAAAACCTTTCAGTGCTCAGCAAATGTTTGAATGCGCAGTCCGCCCGAAAGATTTGTTACATACTCAAGCTTGCGAGCCTGTTCGTAGCAAGTGTGATTGCTCTCGTTTGCTTGATCCGGTTGCCATGCGGAAAATGCATGTCGGACAAACCGGCAGGTGCCTGAAAGAGCGTTTAAGGGAGCACTATTACCATGCATACATAGCTGTTCAAGGTGATCTGGGTAATCATTGTAGAAGTTGGGGCTGCAGACCGGAATTAAAAAAGTGCACCGCTGTCGCAAAACACCGTCAGCGGCTAACACGACAAATTACTGGGGTCAATCAATGGCAAATGCTGGGTCCTTGTACCTTCGGGTCCTCATACCTCATACCATCCTCATACCTTGCAAATGCTGGGTCCTCATACCTTTGTATCCTCAAACCTTCGGGTGCACTAACTGAAAAAAAAATCAAGTATCTGGCTCTGACGCAATAGATAGTGTGTTCGCGCTGAGTTGTGGTGTTGTATCCCCATAAGGTGATGATTGTCTGGCTGTGACGCAATGGGCTGCACGATTGTGCTGTGATGTGCTGGTTTTGTCACAAGTATATATTTCCAGCGTTTTCGCTAATGAAATTTCAGTCGAAGTCAGCGCCCTTTTTTGTCCTTGTCGCTTTTTTCCATGGTTACGCCGAAAGTACAAGTCGTCTTGCGCTGTGAAAACATGTTGATTTCCAGTCACAACTCGCCCAAGCATCTGTCTTATTGAGTTACATTGCCAGTAAATCAATATCTTGTGGTAAGTTATGGTGAAATACATGAAAGTAATAATAAATTATTTGCAGGAATATTGAAATTTTGAAACGTTGGGTAACATTGCGCTTCGCAGGTGGCAAGAATGACTTACAAAAGGCATAGCTAAATCACCTATTTTGAATATCTACTTACGCGAAAAAACACTTTCAAGAAATGACGTTGTGGCAATGGTGTTTGAAGGCCTGCGAAAAAAATGTACAGAAGAAACTGAAATATTGATATATTGGTCGCAACAATGAACAGCATTATAGTCGTCGCATTTATTTTGAGCACTAATTTAGAAAGAGA